TCGATCTGCCTGTTCTGCTCCCCACTCTGTCTCTGGTGAAGCCTCTCGCCACCCCTGAGCCTCTGGCCTGTACCCCAGTTCTATATGTACAAATAAATAAATCTTAAAAAAAAAAAAAGAGTGGATGATGAGAAAACCAAGGATCCAAGGAAGGAAGGAAGAAATCCTCATATAAGAGTCAAGTAGAGTGAAATGCTCATAGACGATTTTCTCACTTTTCATTCCTTTGCTTCTCAATCTTTTGACAATTTTAATTCTCTTTATAGTCAAAATATAAGTTCAATAAACCAATTTCTGTGTTAATGAAGCTTCACTTTGCTTTTGATCTTGCTAATTCAGACTAAATGGTATCACAACCAGTTGAGGCAATACTGAACTACAAGGAGTGTCTTATCATTTTTAAATTCTCAAAATCCACAAAACTCTGACACGACTCATTGAATAAAATTACTATTTTGATGTCTATTTCGTTATTCTCTAGAATAGATTCTCTTACATTCCTTAATTAATATGCTCTATCTCAAACTCTTCCATATAAATGGCAATTATTACTTCTCTCCAATATGATGTCTTTGATGCTGAATGAGGTTTGCAGTCTGGTTGAAAGCTTTCCCACATTTACTACATTTATAGGGTTTCTCTCCTGTGTGAATCCTCTGATGTTGAGTAAGGTGTGTGCTTCGGATAAAGGCTTTTTCACAGATTTTACATTTGTAAGGTTTTTCTCTAGTATGAATTCTCTTATGTTGAGTAAGGGCAGAATGGTCACTGAAAGCTTTCTCACAGATATTACATGTGTAGGGTTTTTCTCCAGTATGGATTCTCTGATGCTGGGCTAGTGCTGATTGGTCCCTGAACGCTTTCTCACATAAGCCACATCTGTAAGGTTTCTCTCCTGTATGAATTTTCCGATGTCGAGCAAAGGATGAATTATCCCTGAAAGCTTTCCCACATTCATTACATTTATAAGGTTTCTCTCCAGTATGAATTCTCTGATGCTCAGTAAGGGAAGAGTTCACCCTGAAGGCCTTTCCACATTCATTACATTCAAAGGGCTTCTCTCCAGTGTGAATTCTTTGATGCTGAAGAAAACTTGTACTCTGATTAAAGGCTTTTCCACATTCATTACATTTATAGGGTTTCTCTCCACTATGAATATTCTGATGTTTGGTAAGATGAGCCCTACAAACAAAGGCTTTGTCACATACATTACATTTAAAAGGTTTCTCTCCAGTATGTATCCTATGATGGTGAGCAAGGTGTATGTTTCGGATAAAAGCTTTTCCACATAAGTTGCATTCAAAAGGTTTCTCTCCAGTATGAATTTTCTGATGATAAGTAAGCGAGGAGCTCACTGAAAAGGCCTTGCCACATTCCTTACATTCATATGGCTTTTCACCAGTATGAATTCTTTGGTGATGGATAAGGTGTGTACTCTGATGAAAGGCTTTCCCACATTCTCTACATTCGTATCGTTTCTCTTTAACATGAGCTTTCTGATTTGCATTAAGTTTTTCAGCATGAATTTTCTGATGTTTAGTAAGGGTTGCGTTCTTAGTGAAAACTTTCCCACATTTACTGCATTCAAAGGCCTTTTGACTCGGCTGAAATCCTTGACTTTGAACAGAAGGCAAGCTCATGATGTGGCCCTTATAAGACTGATCACTTTTCTGCTCACTAACCACAAGGGTGGTTTCCCGATGCGTGAGTACTACTTGCTGTAACTTTATCTCCTGTCTTCCATGACACCATTTTAACAGACTGTCATACTTCCAGTACCTATTACCAGTGAATCTTTCCTTCACTGTCCATTGATTTAATTCTTCTTCCAAACTATCTGCCTTGAGAGTAGATTTCTTATTCACAGGTATAGCCATCCAATCTAAAATACATCAAAAATAAAAATGAGAATGAGAAGTTGAGTTGAGAATGAGAAGTTGTATAATATTTAAAGGAGAGACTGCATATTGAAGATCTCTTGAAATGATGATAACTGAGGAAATGAGAGAGGTGAACTGAAGATATAGCCAGAAGGAACTGACTGAATAAATAATACATGAGCAGAAGAACTTGGGATTCAGAAGTCACAGCCCTGAATTAGAATCCAAAGCACACTACTTACTTTCTTTGTGATTATAGAACAGTTACCTAACTTGCTAAGTTTCAAAAGACAAACAACCCCCCACACACATAAATCACTGATATAGACCACACTGTTAGTAGATAAGATAAAAATGTACCTTATTAATTATAGTCATGACTTTAAAAATAACCCAGGTACAGGCATAGAGACTGGAAGTCAACTCTTGTTAGAAAAAATTCAAATCCAGAGTAACTACTGAAACTAGCCCTTTTGTTTAAGAGACTAATATTAATATTCAGACCACTAACAAAAAGTTAGGATGTGTGTATGTGTGAAACACTCATATCAAATAATAATTAAAACTGTGTGGTGCATGTGAGCAAGCAAAGTTCAAACATACATAAACAATGTGATATGAGAAAAATGTGGTATGTGTAGATTGTACCATCAAGATGCATATAGGAGCACAGAAGATTCAGAACAAAGTAACAATTATGTCAGAATTTTCTACTTTGTTGCATATAGGAAGGAGAGTCCCAAATCTCTACAAAGGAGAACAAACTGCCACTAGAAGTGGGGCTTTCCCACTGTGATGACTCATGGTCCTATGGTAACACCATCCCTCTCTCCAAACATGAATTCAACTCCTACTTAACAACTGTCTTGCTTGGTTTGATGTTCCTTATTATTAACAAGTACTTTTAGATTACACATTCGTTTTTATTATTTTAAAAATTTTAATGTATTTTCTAGATCACACATTAGTTTTCCATAGATGTATTTATGAAAAAGTGCCTTTTAAGTTAGAGCCATTTAAAGACTTTCTACTAATAAATGTCATGATAATGACTAGGAGCACACAGAAATCCTGAACAATTCTATTGAGAACAAGCTTCCTCATCATTCTTCATTCCCTTCCACTTACTCCAGAAAATATTCTACAGAGAGCTACAATAGAACAAAACAAAACCAAAAGAAAACTAATTTTCTTATCTAGAAGAGATAGTTAAACAGCTGCGTTCAGGGTTACAATGGGAGCTGGTAAACTGGTGAACTCAGAATAACCTTGCTCAGAATAAAATATGTTCAATGTTAAGCAAATTGTTGCCAAAACAAGGGCATTATCAAAACATTTTAAGTGCTGACTTTCACTTCCAGAGCCAATAGTGTACCTTGTGGCAAAGAAACATTGTTGCAGGAAAACAAAAAAAAAACAACCCTGGAAAATCTGAAATGAAAATAATTTCTGCCTAATGATATACTGTGTTATCCGAGATTAAACTGACAGTGTAATATTTGGGGAAGAAAGGAAATACAGAGGTGATCCCAAAACTTACTGGTTTTATCCTCAGAGAATTTGCTGAATGCTTAAGGTTTGCAGAGCAAACGTGTAAAGCCTACCAGAAATTCAGAATTTTTTGGTAGTTTTACATTACTGTAGAGCCAAAAACTGGAGCATAGGGTATTCCAGGAAGGAGGTATGGTGGGGGGTGGGGTGAGTCATAATAAACATGTGACACTCTCAGTATTCCTGGAAGCTATTACCGATAACCTAGCAGGGCACACAAAAGTTTTATAAACACAAAAAACCCAGTCTTCCTAGTATTTCATGTTAACTGTAGAAGGGTCAGTTTTCCAGGAACAGGTAACAAAAGCAAAATTTCAAAATGGATAAAACAAACAACAAAAGAAGGAAAAACAGACAAATTTTAACAGTCATGGAGATCATTATGTGTGATTGTTAACAAATCACACATAAAAACTGAAAAATCAACCCCAAAAAAATGGGGGAAGGGAGAAGATGGCGGCAGAGTAAAGATGCCGAGATCACTGCATCCAGGCTCGTGCAGGAATTTAGGACTGAAAATGGACTATAGACTTACATGCTACAAGTTTCAACCCAAATGAGAGCACCCTGGACTCACTAGAGGGAAGATAACTGAGGGAGAATCAATCGGTGATTGGGGAGCTGATAAAAGAACTCCGCCCCCCCCACCCCCCTGCCAGGAGATCTCAGGTGCCTGGAAATTTGGCGGGCTGCAGGAGCCGCTTTG